TGGCTTTTTGTTTTACCGATAGCTTCTTTCATTGTGCAGAAGCTTTTTAGTTTGATCTAACCCCTTTTATTTCTCTTGTAGTAGGAGACAAGTCCACAAAGATCACAAAAGTCAATGTCATAGAGTGTTTTGCCTATGTTTTCTTTAATGTATTTTATGGTTTTGGTCTTAAATCCAAGTAACCAATCATGCCACACATTTACTGAGTATCAAAGATCGCAATACATATGCCAAAAGCTAGAGACAAAACTAATTACTAGGGATTCAAATATGAAAGTGATATAGTTCCTGTTTTCAGGGACTTTACAGTTGTAAGGGGAATATATTTATAAATATATATAAATATATATATTTATATATATGGCTTAAAAGCAATGCATCTATACTAGAGTTATCAAAGAAGGCTGAAAGAATGTGTGCTTAACCTGAAGCTTAGAAAAGCAGTTAGCAGGGCAAGGTCTGGAAGGAGCCATACACGGATGAGAGAGATGAGACAGCTTGGTGAATATACAGGGCAAGTTTATTCAGGATGACTGTATTACAGGATTGGATCATAGAATTGGGGGCATATGGAATAGATGGGTCTGGAGAGGTACACAGGGGTCAAGGTCCGGAAGGGCCTCATCCATGAAATCATGTGCAGTTGAACTTTCTCATATTGGTAAGCTACAAGTGATGAGAGTAATTAGTTGCAGTACAAGTAGGGGTAGGAAGAACTGATTAAGAACAGGATTTCTCAGCCTCGGTGCTGTTGACATTTTGGGCCAGATATTTATGTGCACGTAGGGGGCAGTTTTCCTGTGCTTTGTAGGCTGTTTAAGCAGCATCCTTGGACTACCTGCTAGATGACCAGTAGCAAGTCCCTCTCCACTCAGGGGAACCAAATATGTCCAAGATATTACCAAATGTCTCCCATGGTGTGCTGATTGAGACCTAATTGCCCCTGATTGAGACCTACTGACAAACTCATGGGAAGGTAGAAAAGAGGTTTGTTTTTGGACGCGTTTGAGATACTTATGGGATATATTAATGGAGTGGCCCAAGATACAGTTGGATAGATGGGTCTGTGCTCAGAAGAACCACCTCAGTCGGAGATACATAGTTGGAAATTATTTGCACATAGATGAGAAAAAACATCACAGGAATGGCTGAAGATCACTGAGAGAGATCTGTGGAGCTAGAAGAGTACTAGACAGGAACTAGAGAGAAACCTACAGTTTGGGGTGGAGAGTATTAAATCACCATTCTAATTCTCTGCAATGAAAGCAAAGATAAAAGAGAAGCCATGTAGCATGTACTTTTTAATCAGTAATGAAGTTCTTGATATTCTCTATTACCCAAGTGGAAGTAAAAATTTAAAAATAAATGAATGAGGGGGTGGAATGTGAAAATGTGTATGACATGGTTAGTTTTCTTATTACAAAGAGTTTTAAGTGAATCGTTTTTTTTAAATTTATTTTCTCTCTCCTCTCAAAACTGGGGGGAAAAACCTCTTAAGGAGCTTTATAGTTATATTATGGTGAGTGAATACCTAGTCTACAGGGCTGAATTGAAAAATCCATCATGCATTTATTAGCAGTGTTGTTTCACTACCTTGTCATCAGTGTTCAAATACAGTTCTGCAACTGAAGGCTCAGGGGAAATACAGAAGCTTTTTATACAGACATGTTCGTTAGCTTTTGATAAGGCTCTAGAGTGATAATTCTTGGAGAAAATAAAATGTCATAAAGCAATGGACAAAAAGAGCTTATGGGATATAAAGCAAATCCAGTAACAGGAAATAGTATCACTTTTGGCAGGAAGGTGAGATGAAGAGGGAAGATAATTTCCTGCAGGTGACAAGATTTCCATAGAGTCACAAAGCTAATTGCCTACAATGCCAATTATGATGCGAAGTCTTAGACTAGGGCACTAGCTTCCTGTCAGAATGGAACACAGTACTGAAAAGAAGGCCAGATGCTTTGGGTAAGTGATTACCTGACTGTAAGTTAAATGTCCTTGTGAGAAATGCTCATTCTTAAGCTCAAAATGTATTTGAGAGGCCCACTCCCAAATAACACTATGTATCTTCCAAAGGGCCTGACAACCAAGCTGCAGACCTATTCTAACTGCATCTTTTGCACAGAGGTTCTGTGTATATAAAGACAAACCAAATAAAGTTTTGAAATAATTTCCCCATCTTACTCATTAGAGTGTGTACTTGCCATTTTTCTTTGCCACACAGAACCCCTTGTGCCCAATTCTAAGGGCACACTGGTCTGCCTTCCTAGTTCCAACCCCTGCTGCCTTTCCAGCAACCTTCTCTCTCCCTCCCCTCACCAACATTAGAAAAGAAGTTAACAAATGGTTCTAATTACCACAGTGGTTTGAGGCTTCTCAACTTTTTTTTTCCCTTCCAGCTGTAAAGATGTCCTCAAACTGAGCTTCACGTTCAGAACTGCTGTCAAATTCTCACTTTAATGGGCACTTAAATTTAATGTCAAGCTGATGCTTGTGGAAGACCTTGATTAAATTTGCAAACAGTAGACTCTAACCAAACTGGAACTTGAGAGTTGTCTCATTTTGCCTTTCAAGCTCAAATCCCAGAAGTTTTCTTTTCTGTGCAAAGAATTACAGACGTTTGCTTGCAAAGACCCCAAATATCAGTAAGACAGCAAAGTGTAATAAGCAAAACACTCAGAATGCTTTTGCATAGAGAAAAAAATCCCCAGCTTATTAAAATTCTGTATAAATTGAAGATCTTTCCCATTGCCTTATTTTGCTCCCTTTCAATCAAAATCTATAAGATTATATTATTATAAGCCATCCTAAAAAGTTTGCTTAAAGTCTTCTTAGTGTTCTTTTTATACACAGTGGAATTAAGAGTTTGATATTGTACAGGCAGAATGAAAAACATTAAGGAGAAACAACATAAAAGAAATGACAATTCCACTAACAATGTCATTGCTTCAACCAGTTACACATCTCCAACCTAGTCTCTTTCCTTTGTTCCTTCTTTTGTCTCTGAGAATCATATATCCTTCCCTCCTTGAAGAGGTAATAAAAGGCTAGAAGTTAGAAGATCTGGAAGACTCATATCTTTTTCATTGGCTACTGTTTTGAACAGAGGCTGCTGGCTTTTGATATTTCTTTTGGGCTCTATTCACATCATCCAATTCAAATAGGTTTACTTTCAAAGAAAAGAAATCAAAATTGTCAAGACCTGTGAAGCATGAAAAATAAATTGCTTTTTCCAACTCCAAAAAGCACCAGAAACGCATTAATTTCTATCTTCTTATATAAACCTCTAACCCCTTATCCTCTAATCTATAGACTTCACAAAATATTTGTATTTTCTTCTGTATAATACATGACAGGAGATCAAACCTTATTACAAAGAAATGGAACTTGTAATACAACTAATATTTAAACTAGTGTTACTTTGGAGTTTGATTTGACTAGACACATAAAAAACATTCAGGTAGAGTAACAAATTCTTGGGGCTGTCAGTATAAAATAGTCAACTAAGACACATCTACTGTGTTGTTAATGGCTTTGTTCTTTTAGCTAGTGGGAGAGCAGACTTCATAAAAGAAGGAGAACATGAGGCAATAGAAAAAGATAGCCTTGCAAAATGTTGCTAGATATGAAATATCCTGTCATAAGATTTTTCATTGAACTACAGCAGTGAGACGACTTCTAATATTTCCCTTCTTTTAATACAAAAGAGACCTACATTTCTATGCTTGGTTTTCCAAAGCTATCTTAATTTTGTGGTTAAAACAGCCCAAAGTAACACTTGTTCTTAACATGTGAAAATAAAAGACTTGGGATTTTGCAGTGGGTAAAGTGGTAGGCAGTCATCAGGTTCCTGTTGAGATCAATGATAAAAGGAATAGCACATGGTTTCAGAAGGGAGAGCTTTACAGGGGTAATTTGTATTAGGATAATACTATTTTAGGGATTAGGTAGTAGTAATTTGCAAAGACAAGTAGAAGTTCGGCTACTATCTCATTTAATTATATGCTACTAAATAATTCCAAGAATTCTTTGCTCAGCGGCCTTAAAATAAAAGCTTGATCAGCTGACATTTTTAGGCTCGTATAATCTGATCCTATTCAAATCCTTTTCATATTGCTGCAATTTTTCACAGGATTTAAAATGTGGTGCATCTGACAGTCCAGGCTTCTGAATACAATGTCCTTTTCCATTTAGTTAGTATCTGATTTAAGAAGATAAAGGAAAAGTAACCTTCTTCACTAGGAAAGGAGGACTGAAATAGAGTAATATTTTTACTTAATCCAAGGCATTATGTGAGGAAGGGTTACATTTCAGCCTGGGTCTCTTTTAAGAGCCCCAAACCCTTTGGATGAATGTAGATAGCAAGGAAAAGAAATCAGTTAGTAAGGTTTCCAATAAAGACACTGAGCAGGGGATTAGATAAATATGTCTATAATCTTCCATATTTACTAAATTCCACAGCTGGCTCTGAATGGAGGGAGTTACTATAAATATCAGAATATTCACAACCAAAGTTACTGAATTTACTGAATGTTTTTGGGAATTGATGCAACTACAAAAGCAGTAGGAGGGTATAACGTAGGAGGGTAGAATGAAGAAACACTTTAGACATTCCTTATAATCTTCTTTCTTTAGTAACTGTCTTTTTCATGTATATGCCCCAGAATGAATGGAAAATGACAGCAGATAAAGTGCCACCATTTTACATAATAAAACACTCTTATTTGTTAATAAATAAATGACTATACAAATTATCTTTCTCTTAATTTCCAAATCATAATTCATTCTAGTAGCTTCTCGCCATTCAAAGGAATAAAACTGATGTGGAATAGCCATAAATAAGAAATAAGGAATAATCACAAAAAAGAAAAAGAAAAAGCTTGATCTTCATTGGTGAATTACAATATGTTGGATATTCCAAAATACCACTTTAAAAAACTTAGGATGTGTCTAGAGGATAGGTCTAATCTGTTATGACATAAGATGGGATGCTTGCAATTATACACAGAGTCATATAACATTTAAAACATTGGCATTTATTAACAAAAATATTTCAGAAATGGACTGGGTCAAAATTATAATAAGGGTTAAAAGTTGTTTTCAATTGTATCATTTCTGAGACTGTATAACCAGTTTAGGAAGCTGTTTTATCTCCTAAAACAGGGATTAAATAACACAATTCAAATGTTAGATTTTAGGAGAAACTCATCCTCTTCTCTTTGTCAAAGCAAAATATAGTAGAAGTCTGTTTTTACGGGCAAGTCAGCTTTCCTAAGAGGTGTGTGTACATGAGGCTGGAATAGGGTGCAGACACAGTTAGATAAAAAGGTCAAGTCTTAAAAGCAGGAAATGAAAATTACTGCACATAGAAAGTTACTAACGACCCAAGAATCATTCATTAAAGTAACTCTCTAGTCCCTCCATATCCATCTCCAGAGAGGAATTTAAAGAGGCAAGAGCAGATGATTCATCTTTGGTTTTCTGGACATTTGTTTTGGGCTGAGGAGTTTCTGGTTGGATGGATTCCTTCTTGATGTCTTTACCACCATTTAGAATCCGTTGGCTCTCAAAAAAGAATTGATTAGGATGATTCAGAGAAAAGCCACAATCATCAACCTGTGCAAGGAAATAAATACATGTCACATTAACATTTAGGAAAAGTATATACAGTGTTTCAAAAACTTACTCAGCCCTTGATCAAAATCTCCTTAATAACGGAAACATATCCTAGCAGTTCTTGTTCCTAACACTCAATTCACTACTCACCTGATTTCATTCAGAAACAGCTTCAACCACTATCTAAATATTAATGGCTCCTGCATTTATTTTTGCAGCCAAACCTCTGTACTCAGCTTTTTGTTCCCTATCCAACCCTAGTTCTATATCCAACTCGTCCTCATCTCAAATGGTTTAAATGCCTGACACATTGTCATTCAAAAACTTATCTAAAAATAAAATGTTTTGTTTGAAAGAAAACAATCCAAAATCACAGGGAAGGGATATGAATACAGGCACCACTTTGATACTGCTCCCTGTTATTACTCATTTTTTAATTGAGGCAATGTTGGTTTACATTTGACTTAGCATAATCCCTTCTGGCTCCATTCATCTTGCTGCAAATGGCATGAATATATCTTCTTTGATAGCTGAGCGTATCTTTGATCCACTCATTGCTTTTGAGCACTAGGATGTTTCCATAGCTTGGCTGTTGTAAATAGTGCTATAATGAACATGAGGGTACAAGCTTCCTTTCCAATTAATGTTTTTGCATTTTGGGGGTGGGGTAGATACCTAGGACAGCAATTTGAGTTACACAGCAGATGCATTTTTAATTGTTTGAGGAACTTTCATACTGTTTTCTGTAGGGGTAGGGCCAGTCTGCAATACTCCCAAAAGTGTAAAAGCGTTCCTTGTTCTCCACATCCTCACCAGGACTTAATTGTTTCTGGTCTTGCTATGGGCCATTCTCACAGGTGTGAGGTAGTATCTCATTGTGGTGTTGATTTGCATTTCCCTGACAGTGATGATAAACATTTTTTCATCTGTGTGTCTTCTTTGAAGAAGTGCCTATTTAGCTATTCTGCCCATTTTTTATTGGTTTTGTTGTTGTTGTTGTTGTTGAGTTGTATGAGTTATTTGTAAATCTTTGATATAAGCCCCTTGTCAGATGTATGGTGTGCAAATATCTTCTCCCATTCAATAGGGTGCCTCTTCATTTTAGTGATGGTGTCTTTCACTGTGTAGAACCTTTCAGTCCAATGTAGTCCCAATTGCTTATATTCTCATTTGTTTTCCTTGCTGTTAGAGACATATCTGCAAAGCTATCACTGAAGCTTATGTCAGTGTTTTGCCTGTGTTTTATTACATGTATTTTATGGTTTCAGGCCATATGTTCAAGTCTTTTATTTTGAGCTGATTTTTGTATATGGTGTGAGGTATTGATCTGGTTTCATTTTTTTCATGTGGCGGTCCAGTTTTCCCAACACCATTTATGGAAGAGGCTTTCCTTGCTCCTGTGTATACTCTTGGCTCCTTTGTTGTCCATTAACTGTCTATGTAGGTATGAATTTATTTCTGGGCTCTCTATTCCATTGGCCTGTGTGTCTATTTTTGTTCTAATACCATGCTGCTTAAATTAGTTTTACAGTATAATTTGAAGTCTGAAAGTGGAATGTTGCCATTCTTATTTTGCGTCAGGATTGCTTTGGCTATTTGGGATCTTTTGTGATTCCATGTGATTTTTAGTAATGTTAGTTCTATTTCTTTGAAGAATGCCATTGAAACTTTGATAGCAATTGCAAACGAATCTGTATATTGCTTTAGGCAGGATGGCCATTTTGACAATGTTGAGTCTTCCAATCCATGAGCAGGGAATAGCTTTCCATTTCTTAGTACCTTCTTTTATCTATTTTAACAATGTCTTACAGTTTTCTTTGTATAGGTCCTTCTCCTTTGCTAGGAGACATTTATTTTTAGTGTGATTGTAAATGTGGTTTTTAAATTTCTTCCTCTTTTAGTTTGCTCATTGTGTGCATTATAGGAAAACAACTGATTTTTGCGTATTGATTTTATTACCCTGCCACTTTGCTGAACTGATTGTTTCAATAGTTTTTTAGTGGAGTCTTTAGTGTGCTCTATGTATATTATGTTTTCTGCAAATAATGACAGCTTTATTTTTTTCCCCCAATTTGGATTTCTTTTATATCCTTCTCTTGCTTAACCGCTCTAGTAAGGACTATCAACACTATATTGTATGGTAGTGGTAACAGTGGACATCCTTTCTTGTATCAGAATTTAGTGGAAAAGCTTTCACTATATAGCTTTTATTATGTTATGTTCCAACTATTCCCAGTTTTTCAAGGATTTACTTCATAAATGGATACTGAATCATATCAAATGCTTTCTTAGCATCTATTGATATGATCATGTGGTTTTTATCTTTTTGTTGATGTAAATTACACTGATTTTAGGAATCTGAAGTACCTTTGTGTTCCTGGTATAAAACCCACCTGGTCATGGAGTATAATCATTTTAATGCATTGTTGGACTTGGTTTGCTAAGATTTTATTGCAGATTTTTGCATCTTTTTTCATTAGAGAAATTATAATTCTCTTTTTTGTTTTTCTTTGGTTTTGTTATTAGAGTAATGTTGGCCTCATAAAATGTATTTGGGAATATTTCTTATCTCAATTTTTGGAAAGAATCTGAGCAGGATAGGTATTAGTTTGTCATTGAAGTTTAGGTAGAACACCTCCGTAAAGCCATTTTGTCTTGGACTTTTGTGTTTTGGGAGTCTTGTTTACTGTTTCATTTCTTTGCTTATGAATGGTCTTTGCAGGTTTTCTATTTCTTCCTTATTCAGTCTCAGATGACTCTACGATTCTAAGAATTCTTTTATCTCTTCTGGTTGTTGAACTTATTAGCATATAGATGTCCATAGTAGTCTCATTATCCTCTGAATTTCTGTAGTGTCTATTGTAACATCTCTTTCGTTGTGATCCTATTTGAGTTTTGTCCCCTATTTTTTTTTTTTAAAGATTTATTTATTTAAACAAGCACTGGGTACAGTCAGAAGCGCGGGAGGGTAAGAGAATTCACCAGAGCCAGAGTGGGGAACAGAACAGGCAGACTGATGAAATACACTGCCAAGGGGAGCAGCGGGCACGGCAGGGGAGGTCTTTGCGCCATGTGGGACCCTCTCTGGCAGCCGGGGATAGAACCAGCGCTGCAGAGACTGCGGGCAGCTTCGCAGCCCAGTGCTCAACTGCTGCGCCACCAGGGGAGCCCCGTCCCCTATTTTTTTAGAGAGCCTGGCTAGAGGTTTGTCTTATTTATTTTTTTGAGGTTTGTCTTATTTTAAAACCAAAAAAAAAAAAAAAAAAAACCAAACAAACCAGGTTTTGGTTTCATTAATCTTTTGGACTGTCATTTTGATTTTTATTTCATTTCTGCTGTAATTTTTATTTTCTTATATTGGCTTTTGGTTTTGTTCTTTTTCTAGTTCCTCAAGGTGAGAGATAGTTACTTATTTGAGCTATTGTTCCTTGATGTGAGTTTGTATTGCTATGTACTTCCCTCTTACTAGAGCTTTTCTGTATCCCGTAATTTCTGGAAGGTTGTGTCCTAGTTATCATTTGCCTTATTTTTTTTTTCTTTCCTCATTAACTCAATAGTCTTTCGGAAGTGTGTTATTGTTTCCAGGAATTTAGGGTCTTCTGTTTTGTTTTTGTAGTTGATTTCCATTTTGATGTCTTTCTGGTAAGAAAAGATAGTTGGTATGATTTCAGTCTTCATGAATTCATTGATAATTGTTTTGTGACTCAATATGTGGTCAATCCTGTAGAATGTCCAATGTGCACTTGATAACAATAGGTATTTAAGTTTTTTGAGGTGCAATGCCCTCTGTTAACACCATGTGGTCGGTACTTTAAGGCTATTGTGTCCCTGTTTTCTGTCTAGTCAGTTTGTTCATTGGCAAGAGTAAGGTGAAGTCTCCCACCACATACATGTTTTTTCTAATGTCTGTTTTCAGAGTTGATAGTAGTTGACTAATATATTTTGGTGCGCTTTGGAGCTCACGTGTGTTTATTGGAGACAACATAAAGTTGGATTCTATTTCCTGATTCAACTATAGATTCTTTTAACTGGTGAGTCTTTTAACTGGTGAGTTCAGTCCATTTACAACTAAAGTGATTATGGATATATGAAATTCTGTTGCTGCCATTTTGTCCTTAATTTTGTGCTTTAATTTACTTCCTTGTTCAGTTCTTAGTGTTTGTTCCTTTCTTTGGTTTAGATATGAGAATTCCTTTCAATAAATCTTGGAGGGAGGAATCTATTGGTTACAAACTCCTTCAGTTTTTCTTTGTCTGAGCTGGCTTTTATTTCTCCCTTATATCTGAAGGAAATCCTTGTAGGATATTCTTGGCTAGCAGTTTTTAAGTATTTTGATCACATCATTCTATTCTCTCCTTGCCTGGAGTGCTTCAGAGAAGTCTAAAGTAGCCTAAGCAAGGTTTCTTTATAGGTTAGCTGCTTCTCTTCCCTTGCCAGCTTCAATATTCTTTGATTTGAACTCTTGGAAGTTTAATTATCATATGTGTTGGTATATGTCTCATTTTGTTTAGGTACCTTGGTGTTCTTTTAGCTTCCTATATTTGTATATTTAGTTTCTTCTCCAGGTTCAGGAAGATTTCCTCTATTTCTTTAAAAACATTTTGTATTCCCCTCTCTCTCTTCCTCCTGCTGGGAACCCATTATTCTTACATTGCCTTTCCTCATGTAGAGAGAATTTTTTTTTTTTTTTTAACTTCAACTCTCTCTTCTTCTACCTGGATTCTTTGTGCATTCACATATTTAAGGCCACTGATTCATTCTCCCATTTGGTCAATTCTGTTTCCATAGCTTTCTCCAATATATTTCATAACCTCCTCATCTTTTTTACATCCAGAATCTCCATTTTCTTGTGTAAAGCTTCAATTTCAGTTTTCTGTTCACTGATTTTTTTTTTTTTCCAGGACATTTGTTTCTTGGAGTTTTCTTGTATATCTTGGATCAGCTTTTCTGTTTTCTGTTACTCTTTCACTTCTTTGATTTTCTTTATCATGGCAATTCTG